ACACACACACACACACACGTGAGCACAAGCACTTGTGCTCAAAATCACAACAAGGGACGATTTAGAGTGTTCAATTAACCTGCCATGCATGCTTTTAGAATGTGGGAAGAAACCAGAATACCCGGAGAAAACCCATGCAGGCACGGGGAGAACATGCAATAACACAAGCTTGGAAGTCTAATTCATAAATTGGCAAGTGGTGGCTTCAGAAAGCGGTGATAAACAGTCAATATTGTCCATTCGAAGGACTACAACAGTGGATGTCAAATCAATGAAGACTGTTTAGATGTGTCAATAAATATAGTGTACAGTTTTTAGAGCTGAGGTTTAAAAATCCCCAACGAACTCACCCACAGCGCTCCCTACTACTATACTACATTATCAAATTGGCACTGAGAGCAAGCAAATGGGTAAAATGTGGTACAAACAGCCACCTGTAAGACACCAAATAAAGTAAATACAACTAAGAGCGAGACAATAAACTGAGAAAAGATGCCAGCATTGCAGAAAAAAAATAGGATGGTGAGTCAGAGCAGGGCATCCCTGATACTAGTTTTTTCTCAAACAGAAGGTCAGTTAGCGAAGCATCTGCTTCTTTTACGGCCGCTTAACGTCATGCTTCATGTTTGATTACTGCCGGAAAAGACTCTCAAATAACTAATGACCAGAACATCCATTAGCTCTCAGTCGGTGAGAACAGGTTTTCCAATTTCACACAAAGCTGTGGAATTGGCCCCCCAGAATGGCGCATAGTGATAATCTATCCATCTCGGCCCATTTAAACAGGTAAAAAAAGCCGCACAGTGCTGACAAATCTGATTTGCTCCAGTGAGCCACAAATGGGAAGAGGGTCGCCTTTCTGAGTTTGAGTTATATGGTGAATATGAGTTATATGGTGAATAATACTGTATAGCATTGGTTCTTTCCCTTATCAATTGCAATTAAAAATGATGACATTTAAAACTCATCGCTCATTATTATTGTTATTATTATTATTATTATTTTTTTTTTATTTATTTTTTTTTTTATCAAACAGAAAAAGAGTCAGATTTTCCATCCATCCATCCCTTTTCTACCGCTCATCTGCCTCGGGTCGTGGAGGCAACAGCTTTCGCAGGGACGCCCAGACTTCACTCTCCCCAGCCACTTCTTCCAGCTCTGAGATCCCAAGGCGTTCCCAGGCCACCTGGAAGACACCATGTCTCTCCAGCATGTCCTGGGTCGTCCCAGAGGCCTCTTGCTGGTGAGACATGTCCGGAATGCCTCACCAGGGAGGCGTCCAGGAGGCCTCCTAATCAGATGCCCGAGCCATCTCATCTGGCTCCTCTCGACGTGGAGAAGAAGCACCTCGACTCCGAGCCACCCCCGGATGGCTGAGCTGCTCATCTTATCTCTAAGGGAGAGCCCGGAAACTATGTGTAGGAAACTCATTTCGGCCGCTTGTATCCAGGATCTCATTCTTTCCGTCACAACCCATAGCTCGTGATCATAGCGGGTTTGGGTGTTACTGCCACGACAGGCACACAGACCAGTTTACGGCCAGAAGCCCAAAGGGCCGACAATCGAGGAGCAGAACATGAGAGCGGACTCAATGTCCCCCGGCTCCCCGGAACGAGGGAAAAGCTCTGCCGGAGGTGGGACTTGAAACTTGTTCTGACAGGGGATTCTGCTAGACGCTCTTAACAAACCCTCACAATATGTTTAGGGATTAGGGACAATGGGATCGTTTCTAAATTAGATTATACATTAATTAAAATTCAACTCATGGGCAAAAATGCAATTTTCATTATTATTATTATTATTATTGTCATTATTGGTTGTCAGAGCAACACCGTTCAGCTTCATGCATTATAAATTAATAGATACAAGATAAAATTGGTTTTCAAACTTAGGCTGTGGTTTCAAAGTATGGTTTCAAGCCAAGATTAGCGTTTCAAGCCTGAGTCATCAGTTAGTTCGTGGCGGTGTCAGATTAAAAAAGAAAATAACAAGTCCCTTTTTCAATTTTGATTGCCAAATGAAAGTGGAAGGAACAAATAATATGTCCATTATAAATACCTGATGACGTTGGTTCACCTTCCGCGTTCCCAACCAGCCATTAAGAGCTTTTTGGGGGGTCGGGGGGTGACAATTTGTTGAGACAGCGTTCCCATTAAAGGATGTTGTTGAGAAGTGCCTTTAATGGCTATGCCGTTTTTATACTTGCAAAGGTGTTCTGCGCATAAATGATGGCCGTGCAATGCGAGAAAACTTCACATTCAAAAGTTCACATTTCTGCCTCTTCAAGGTAAAATAAAATAAAATAAAATAAATAGGTGAATAGGTGGCATTTACTCTGTGCGGCATACCAAGGCCCCATCATGAACCAAAAGATTGGACGCAATTGATTGCTCTTTTTCTCAGGACTGTAAAACTGTTTTGCCTGGGCTGGGGTTTCAACAAGGGTTCGAGATTCAAAGGACATTTCATATGCGGCCTGTTATTTGAATCCAAGGTTAGGGTTTAAAGGTAGCGTTACAGTTACACAATGGTTATGGTTATGGTTACAAAATATAATTTCAAGCCACATTTATGATTTCAAATGAGGGTTTCAAGACAGGGTTAGTGTTTCAATGGAGGAATTGAAACCAGGTTTACGCCTTCAAGATAGGTGTGGGGTTTTAAATTAGGGTTTCAAGTTAAGGTTCGGGTTTTGAGGTAGGCTTTCAAGCTGCCAGGGATGAAGTTTCAATTTTATCCTTATAAACTAGGGTTAGGATTTCGAGCCGGCGTTAAGGTTACAAACTAGAGTTAGGGTTACAAAATAGGGCTTCAAGCCAGCATTAATCAATTAATCAATCAATTAATCGAAATGAGGTTCGAAACTAGGGTGAGGGTTTCAAACCGTCAAGCTCAAGTAGGGTTGTAGATAAAAATTGGGCTTCAAGCCAGGATTGGGGTTGCAAAGAGATATTTCAAATGAGGGTTTGGGTTTGACGTTGCAAGGCTTAATTTGTCAAAGATGATTATGACTACAAAATTGGATTTCAAGTCAAGGTTCATGTTTCAAAGTACGAGTTCAACCAAGGGATAGCCTTTCAAACTAGGAGTGATTGTTCAAATTATCGTTGAAAGAGGTTAGGGGTCCGGGTTGCCAGGGTTTAAATTTGTTTTTTACACAATTGTTTCAAGGGTTTCAAATTGCGGCCCAAAGCCTAGGTTAGAGGTTCTATTCAGGGATTTAAAAGTATATTCTCAAATCACATTAATGTTTCAAATTAGGGTTATAAATTAGGCTTTCAAGCCAATTCAATCTGGTTTGGAAGTATGGTTTCAACACAGGCCAAGTGTCAATGACGTGTATTCCATTATCTCTATTTCAGAAACCTTCAGTAGCAAACTTTGTATTACGTAACAATTAAGGCAGCGATGACATCTCCTTTTGGGACATCATTGCCAAGTCATCAAGTTTCAGTAACAAGACTCCTTAAAATGATGTCTCATTGAATCAAGCTAAGAGGTCCCGAGATGGTCTCCTCTCATTGGTGACAGGAATTGAATAACATGAATGCCCATGAGAGAAAAAAAAGGGTACAGGAAGAAGAAGCAAAGTGAAGATCCTCAATACAATACAATACAATACATCCTGCGCTTCAGTCTTAGCTTATAATGAGAATGAGTCATATGTAGAGTGACAGCTGTACTTCGGGGTTCAAATAAGGTTTAGGTTTTCAAATTGGAACCTTAATCCAAGGTTGGGTTTTAAAGTAAGGTTTACAGTCTTTATACATTTTTGGTCGTAGGAATAGTTGTTTGGGGATTCATGCCACATTTTAAAGCTTAAAGTTGATTGTTGATCTGAAACGGTGCAGCAGAACGCAAGTGTGTTTGTACCGCCGGTGGTAAACACACAAGGCAAAGATAATAAACACGAGACGCTCCACTCATCTTCCGGGGCCAGACGGAGAGTCCTATTAGAAAAGTGCTAAGCAGGCTAATAGAAATGTGGCTCGGTGTCAGCTGTTGCTTCAACTCTGGGCCTGCAGCGAAACTTTCTTCTTCTTCTTATTAACTGGAGCATTTTCCATCAGCACATACTCCAGCACAAATTTGATGTCGCGGAGCAGGAAAGCAAGAAGAGGAGAAGGGGGTGGAGATGAGGGAATTAGCTCACCTGAAGCCGAAGTGCTACGTAGATGGAGAGAATTTGGTTGAAATATCGAGGGAAATAGTCAGGAAATAAGGATTCATTAACCATATGTATGTTGTGGTTTCAAGTTCGGAGTTCAAGCCTGGGTTAGCATTTCAAACAAGGGTTGGTGTTTCAAAATCATGTTTAAGACAGATTATGCTTCAAACAAGTGTTAAGATTTTAATTTGGGCTTGAATCCAGGTTTAGGGCTTGAAACAAGTGTCTGGGTTTCAATGTAGGTTTTCAAGGTAAGATTGGGTTTTCAGGATTTTAGCCTGCCTTACAGTTGTAAAAAAAAAGGCTTAGCATTTCAAATTAGGGTTTCAAGTCTGGTTTATGGTTTCACATCTGGGGTTGCAAGAAGGTTTTCAAACAAGGGTTGGGGTTTCAATTTAGAGTTTCAAGCCTGGTATAGGGGATTGCAGTTTTGAGTCCTG